GTATTCTCGGTCCTCTCTCTGGCTGCAGTTTGTGTCCCCGTGTGTTTTTTTTTTCCTCCCCTTAAGTAAGTTATCACAGAGGCACTACCGCTGTCGCTGATGGGCTCGGCCTTGGCCAGTGGCAGGTCCGTCTTGGACCCAGCTGGCATTGGCTCTGTCGGACATAGGGGAAGTTCCTAGCAGCTTCTCACAGAAGCCACCGCTGTAGCTCCCCTGCTACTAGAACCTTGCCACGCAAACCCAAGACAATTGTGATTCAGACTCTGTGTGTGCAACTACCTGGGTATTGACCTGATTAGCCTGTGTAATTAATGGAGTGGTGTGAGTAGATGTCAATGTCTTCAGACAGATGCTGGTTCCTTCTTTGCTGAGCACAAGAAAGGCGCACATATTCTCAGAGGCCTACACTTTGAACCACGTTTGAGAAATGTTTCCTAAAGGTGCAGAATAAAATTCACATCAAAGCGTTACGATTAATTAATATAAACCGTCTAATAGTAGTAGAAGCAGTCTCAGATGGAAGCAGGTTATCCTATGTAGTCTGATTAAAATAAAGATCCATCTAAATGCAAACAGATGTTTTTCTCTTCTCTTACAGTCCGTGTGTCACTAGAGTAATTCAGATTGAGCCTCAAGCATATGCGGAAAACGACAATACTTGCTACAGTCCTCCACCCCCGTACAGCAGCCACAGTTTTGCACATGAAACTCAGATTACAATGCAGTCTACAGTGCAGTTGCGCACAGAATATGATCCTCATACGCAGGTGTACTACACCACAGCAGAGCCTCGCTCAGAAATATCTGTGCAGCCAGTGACAGTGACGCAAGATAATCTTAGCTGCCAGAGCCCAGAAAGCACAAGCTCGACGAGGGATTTGCTTTCCCAATTCTCAGACTCCAGTATGCATTGCCTTGAGCCACCCTGTACAAAGTGGACACTCTCATCTTTTGCAGAAAAGCATTATGCTCCATTCCTCCTAAAACCGAAAGCTAAGGTAATCAGGGAACTATTTACCTGTTTTTCAAAAATAGACTTCTGCCTTTCCCAGTAATAAAATTATCCTGGCAGTGGTATTAAATAGAATTCCTTTGGAATAACAATTCTTAATAATTTTACAGCTAATTTCACGCTTCAAATATTCTATCTTGCGAGTGCTGTAGAGACATACTTTTCAAATGTAAGTGACAAGTGAGGGTTTCGGTGACTTTTGGTAACATAAGCCTGTGAACAGTGAAACTAGAGCCACTTTTAAACTTTACTATGATATAAATTTCTCCCCTTCAATAAAGCATAGATTAGCTTAGCCTTGTAGTGTGTATGTATATGAAAAAAAAAAACCCAAGAAATAAAAGCTTGAAAGTAGACTGATGGGTGTTAATTTTGAACCTGGCTTTGCACTGTGCCATTACAAATTGTTAGTTTCTTTAGAAACCTAAACCCAAATGCATTTCCATTTTCTGTTGCAGATTGTGGTTATTTTTCTTTTTCTGGGTTTACTTGGGCTCAGCCTTTATGGAACTACCCGGGTGAGAGATGGACTTGATCTCACAGACATTGTACCACGGGAAACACGAGAATATGACTTTATTGCCGCACAGTTCAAGTACTTTTCATTCTACAACATGTATATTGTGACACAGAAAGCAGACTATCCAAATGTCCAGCACTTACTTTACGAACTTCACAGAAGTTTCAGCAATGTGACATACGTTTTGTTGGAAGAGGATAGGCAGCTTCCCAAAATGTGGTTGCACTACTTTCGAGACTGGCTGCAAGGTAAGACAGAGTTGGATGAACTTTTGTTAATTCTACAGTAGCAACCACTTGTTCACGCTAGTAATGCTCCCCTCTTTGAATACAGTCACATGGTTGAAGACTGTGAGCCAGAGGGAGAATGCCTAGCTGCTGATCTGAACTCGCACGTTGACTCGCTGTTTCTCCAACACTTAAATTCTTTGTGGCTAAGTTTACTCCCCAGTAAGACAGTTTTGAAGCTTTAAGAGACTATATCCATGAGAGGCCATCTCATGCCATTAATTTCTAAGCAGCTAATGAGGAGTTCTGCTGTATAATTAATGGCCAAATATGGCTCCCTGTCTTGGAAAAAATAAACGTTTGCGAGTGTTTTGAGAACAGTAAATGAAAAGTCCCCATCCAGCGATGTATTTTGTCACAGGCTTAACTTTCACCACATGAGTGATCCTGTTGGCTTCAGCTGGGACTGCTGGCATAAAGAAAATTCAGTGTGGCTTATGTGTTTTATTGGATTGGGAATTTACTATACATTCTAGATTGCCAGTCAAGTGTCTTCACTCTTTCTGTGGTGCTGCTTTTTCTGTCCTGAATTGTCACGGGGAGGGGGAAGACAAGAGAAGGCATGGCCCTTCAGGTACTATCATGGTAATTATATTGAAGTCAGGTTATTAAAGTTACTATAATTACATATGTTGAGACAAATAACTGTTTTGTATTTAAAATAAATAGTACTGTTACATCTCAGCAAATTTAACAGCGCTCTGCTGTGAACAAACATAGTTTCCCCAGGAGTACTTCTGTCCTACCTCTGTGTTTCTGTTAGGAGAATCTTCAAGAAGCTTTTGCCAACAGAAAAATAAATTGTGCTGACCTAGTGAGACTGTAAATTTTAACCTTAACTATTTACAGATGACCAGTGCAGCCAGTGATTCTTAGACAACATTTAGGTAACTGCCAGTGTTTGGGGTATTTTATTCCTTCTGAAAATGTTGGGCAATATTAGGAAAGTGGATGCATTTAAGTGACGCATGTAAACACAATGATCAAGTTTCCTGTGTGTTTAATGCACTGATAAACCAGGCAAAGCAGTGTTTCAGCTAGCAGCTTTGTTTTTTTAATGGTTTTTAAATATATTGTATCCATGCATTATGGTCAACTTACTGGAAGTTTTACTGAAAATGTTTTGCTTACATAAGCATATTGAACCGTTAAGGGAAGGTATTACTGGCAGGAAGAAAAATCAACATAGCTTAGATGTTTTGCTGGATTGGAACCTTGCTATACTTTATAGATTTCTAAGCAAGCATCTTTCTACATGCCTTTCCAAATTCTCTTGTAACTCCACTATTTATTTTATTTCTTTTGTGGGTATTTTTTTGTGGTTGTTCCAAAAAAGTAGGAAAAAAAGTGTTTGTCCCTCCTTCCACCTTCCCCCTGCCCCCAAACCTGTGAGGGAGGTGGAGATCTGAGATCATGTGCAGGATCTTCACGTGTTAGTACTGAACCTCAGCAGAGTCTGCCAACAGTAAAGTAATGAAGAGGTGCCCTTGGATCTGCTCCCTTGCTGGCTTCTCAGGGTGAAATGCTGGAGGCTAGCTCGCTTGGTGTCGCTCCCAGGGGTGCTCACGTTCGCATTCCCCCTCTTTCAGGCGCACCATGTATTTTCCTGAACCTCTTCCACTTTGGATGCCTCCCTGTCCTCTCTGTAATCACCTCTTTGGGCTAAGGACTGTTTGTGTGGCCTCCACCCAATGCCAAGGGCCTGCACATCATCTTCTCTGTGCTGTATGTCCATGCTGTATGTCCATGCTCATATGTGACCTTTCCAGATCTGCTCTTCTCTTAGGGGTGTTCCTATTCTCTTCTTACTGCCCATAGCTACCTTTCCCCTTCTAGCCCATGTTAGCCTACCTGTCCTTCTTCCTTGTCCTCCTCTTTTCTTCGACTAGAGGAGCTGTGAATATTCCTGGTGCCCTGGATATACTGACAGGGTGCACGGAGCTAAAATGTTATAATGGAATGGTCAGGGACACTCCCAGGAAGCAGTGACTTGCAGTGGTTCAAGTGGACGTGGCAGCCCTGTGATGGAAGGTGCATTGCTTGCCCAGTTGATCACCCAAAGCTTTAGAATTAATTCATGATGATTACTAACTAGCATTTAGGTCTGTGTCCTTACCCCTCCTCCCCACCTTCCCCGAGAGGGGCACAGTTAATACAAACCAGCTGTTTTGTAAAGGTGCAGGGCTGTCTTCGCAGAGTGTGATACTGCATTCACAAAGCTGTAAAGACAAAGGATATTGAGATATATCAATAGAAGTTATGTTTTAAAGTGGTACAGGACACTGATGTAACAGAGGGGCAACTAAACTGTTATAGCTGCCACACTTGTCACAGGAAATTCTCTCAAGGTGCAGACACTAATAGAATAATACCTGATCGTTACCAACTGGGGCTGATGTTGAGGGAGTAAAGAAGAGGAAAGGTGAAAACAGAATTTACAAAAAAGGTACAGTTTTAGGCTGGATTCAGGGAGGATCCTCTGTGAGGTGCGAACAGTTCTACTGGTGCATTTTTATATGCTGGAGGACCAGGATAACCAAAGTAGGGGCAGCTTTGAACTTCATGGCTAATTCCTGCTGACTTGACTGGGAATTCAGTGCTAGAGATTAATGGCTCAAGATGGCCCTCTGACACACACACATTTGTCCAGCAGAATGAGGGAAGCAACAGCATGTGAACAAAAGCATTTTTTATCAAGAAGACATCCTTGGTCTTAGCCATACATTTCTCCTTGTTTACTAGCAGTGGAGTGCCTTCAGCCTAACGCACTTCTTTTTTCAGAGGTTCTCTCGTATTTTGCTTTCTGGTATCATACCATGTGAGCATATTTTCTGTTACTGAAAATGCAGCAGAAGAAGAGTTAACACTGATCATTCATTTAAACTGGAAATGTTAACATTATTTCTGTAAGTGACTGAATGTAAATGAGGTAGCTTGAAGTCCCTGGTGGCTTGTAATTAGGTTTGTTTTTGCAAAGGGTAATCTTATCTGGTGTTTCATGGTGCCAGCTGTTCACATGAATCAGTAGGAATTCCTTCCTCACCCCCATTCTTGCATCCCACATAATTTTGGAGGATTTCACTTTCTTCTGAAGCCTTAAGCAAAAGTGACTGCTGATATAAAAAAATCCCATATATAAGATTTTAAAAAGTCCCTTAATTTTTATAACTTCTCTGCAGAAAGAGGTCAACAAGTTACTTTTATCTTTCTGCCCAGAAACATTTCATTAATCCCATTTATAAAAGATTAAATATCTTTTAAAATCATTGGTATGAACAGTTTGTAATGTATGTGCTGTTTGCTTTGGAAGCAGCAACTCTGCTATTAATTTCAAAGTGTTATGGGAAATTTTAATTACTGAAATTTTAAATTCTTTAGAAATCAAGCACAACCAATAGTGGTTTCTTGGTGTTCTTTCCGCAAACTTTAAGTTTCAGCAAGGTCAGTAGTAAAGTAACCCAGAGTGTAAAGTGGTTAAGCCAGCCGAGGAATAAAGGGAGCAGGATTTGAGGGATGACCAAAGTTGTGAGAACAGGGGAGGGGGGGAGATGCAAGAGAGCCAAGTTTTCACCCGCTGCAGTAATGTTAAATGTACATGCCCTTTTTTCACGTACCTTGCAACCACAAATTGTTTATGTCACCTGCCAATGGACATATTTGTTATTGTGTGTCTGTGGAGCCCCCTGACATGGGTTGGATGTTAGTCTGAAAGCTCTGCCCCCATACGCTGTCTATCATAGCAATTTGTGTGCTCTTCCTGCCGAAGGGAGCCATTTTTACTGTAAGTTAAGATTTTCTTTGGTGGTCTCCTCCTTTCCCATGTACTGTGTTGACAGCCTCCTCTTAACCTCCCAAAGGTGTCTTTCATATGACTGATACGATAGCACAAATGCTGTCACCTGGCCACTTTCTGAGAGACTCACATGGAGCTGAACTTGGCACAGGAGGGATGGCTTGATACTTCTGCATGTCCTAAGCGATGTTTTCCCCTCTTCAAGGGCACCAGCAAACAACGCTTTTTTAAAGGGGGCCTTGAAGTCCTTTGGCGATGCCAGAAAACCTGATGGCAGAGTGTCCTCCTCCTGAGCAGGTGCTGGAGGGCTGCATGCAGAGGTCTGGCAGGCTTCTTTCATCGCTTGGTTCTCAGCCTGTTGGCTTCACGAGTGGGTAGGATTTGGCAGGACGACATGGGAGGCAGTTTTTCTAAGGGAGGGGGGATGAGTTTGTAAATGGGAGCAGGTACTCTGGCCCGGAGGCCCTGTTGGCTGGGTGCATTTTCTCTTCCAGCACTCTTATCTCCGTACAGCTGTAGCTAAGCTATCCGATCTGTAATGACGGTTTTCATTACGGCTCCTCAGCACAGCTGCAAGGTGGGTTGGCGATTCCCTCCACCGCCACTCCCCTGGCCTTTTCCTTCCCTTCCCTGGACATGCGGTTTGTCATCTGCTTGCACAGAACCTCCTTGTACTGGGCTGTGGCTTCCTGTACTAAATCTGATCCAAATTTGTGCTGTGAGGTATTCCCTCCCCCTTGAAGGGTGGCAAAGAGGAAAATAACAGTTGAGAGTGAATAGGTGTTGGCTGTGATCTTTACATGTGCTGGCAGCAGATCCCACGACTTGTATTAGCTGCACAAGTTGAACAGATGGAACAAATTGACAAAATCGTGTTCACTCACGCTGTGCTCGAGGAGCAGCTGAGTTGCTGTTTGAAGTTGCAAGTTTGAGTGTGGGGTTTTTTTCCGCCTTGTAGTGGAATTTCTGGTTATATCGTAGAAGCTATTGCCTCAGTGCTCTGCAGTAGCCCAAAACAGTTAATGAGAGCGGTGTGTGTCCTCTGTGGCTCAGCGCCCTCGGCCAGGGTTTTGGTGAGGCAGGGGGGAGTATGGAGAGTGTTTCCCTTCTAGATAATGGACTAAATGCCTCCTCTGGTTTCAGCTCCACGGTAGGCAGTGAAGTTGGATCAGGGCTGAACTCAGCCCTTTTCTCTTCTGGCACCATCCAGGTCAGGGCAAGGCTTCAGCTTTGTTTTGAGGAGGGTGTGTATGAAAGAGGTGATAAATGCAAATATGCATATGGAGTTTTGAGTGTGATGGTTCTGGAATTGTGGCTCATTAGGAAAACCACTTTTTATTCTAGACAATCTTAACTCTTCCCCCTATACTTCTCCAAGCAGAGCTCTAGGTTGCTCTCAAAAGGCTCCGAGAAGGATGCAGGACCAGAGGGTTCTGATCCCATACAAGATCTCCTCTTTGCCTTGAGGGGAGGCTGGTTTACGCTCGTGCGCATTGCATCTGCAGCTTGCTAGCTCAGCTTTGCTGGTCTGCACAACATGGGAAGACTTGAGGCCTCTCACTTGCACCTTCTTGCTTCCCCTGCCTTCCTTTGGGCAAAATACAGGATACGCAACTGGTACTTTACCTTTCCACACACTGACAGTAAATGAGGAGCCCCAAATGTAGGAGGCAGCTGGTGGATAATTTTCTTCCTGATTCAGCTATGAAAGAGAGTAATTGTTTCTTCCTGCT